ACAGAAGTAACGACATGCCAGCATGCTCTCCATGTCGAGTAGGATAATAAACGGCAACTGAACAAAAAATAACTTAGATACAAGAAATCTTATTAAAAATTTTTGTATTGATTTCCTAGACCTACAGCGTACAATGCACAGTAGCATGTCTACACTTTTATGTACATATTTGATGAACTTTGAGACAAATCTGCTATGATCCCATATACAACGACACAAAAAAGAAAATCCAGACAGCTATACCTTTTTTTCGAAATAACAGACAGATACACAATACGCATTTAAATGCAGTGTCTATATTTGATAAATAACTAAATAAATTAAAAGCTCTCTTCAGACACCTCCCTTCATGAAATGATGTTTTGAAATTGACGTAAAATGGGCAATAAAAGGGCATAAAATGGCACAGTCTGATTTGAATATTTCATCTGTCAGTGTAGTCAGGCAGATTTAAATGCTTTATAAAATGCTTTTAATTTCTCAGTGTTGCGAAAAGTCCCCTGGAAACCTGGTTATTCATCCAGGTGTGCATTGAGATACCATTTTCTTCTCGGCCATCTCATGAGGATAGGTGACTCACGATTCATTCTACTGAATGCTGACTTTCAATGGCCATAATAATCTTGTCAAGTCTTTGTGCTGCAACACACTGACATCAGCCTATAAAATTGCCTCATTGTCTTCCATCAGTCCTCCAGCAGAATTGCAGACGTTATTTACCAGGCAATTGACTACTGTCTCTTCTATACAGTATGAATGCATTTACTCCTCGTCTTCATTCTTCAGTACATCATTGTGGACTTTAGAAAGAGTCTTCCATCTATGGAGAAAAATAAATGGTATGAATGAAGCTTGACTGATGTCACAAGCAGCGTATAATGAATGGACAAATCCATAATGTTCTAACGTGTGTGGAGATGAAAGGATTGTTAAAGGAGAAGATGCGGTATTTGAATATATGTCAAAGAGAACAAAAAAGAGCCCTTCCCTTGCTTTCCTCTCAACCAAGACGAAAAGAGAACGCAAACCCTTTGAAAGATTAATTACTACATGTAGATTATGTAAATTATGCCCATGCAAATATTTCATGAGGACAATTAAGGGACCCATTAATTACTGCTCCCCTTTTTTATCTTTATCCTTTCTTTCCTTTTTTTTTCTTTTTGCATCAGTGTCATTTAATTTCATTTCACTCTCAATGTTTTAAATGTTTAATATTCTAACAAAGGCTTGCGATACATCATCAGGGCCCTGTTTACATTATCATATACATTGTCAAACAACAGAACATAATGGACACCATATATAGGATAGATGGTATCCATCTACGGCGGTAATTTCTTTCAAGACTTTGAAGATTACAGGGGAAAACACATTTAAATATAGCTCCATGAGGAAACAATACGACGGAATATGAAAAGATTAAATATCCATTCAGACATCAGTACCTTGTATTGTTCTGTCAGTGTCTGTTTTGCTGCTGTTATGGTTTGTCTCCATTTCCTGTTGAGGAGGGTCTGTTAACATGAAAAGAGTTATCAATAGGGTTATGAATTATTTGTTGCTTTAACTTTATTTAAAGGTGACATATCATGAAAATCTGACTTTTCCGTGTTTTAAGTGCTATAATCAGGTCCACAGTGCATCTACCAACCAAGGAAACGTGAAAAAATATTATTACAGTTTTAAATAACTGTTGTCTATTGTAATAAGCTGTAAAATGTACTTTATTCATGTGATGCAAAGCTGCCATCATTCCATGATCCTTCAGAAATCAGTCAAATATGTTGATTTGCTGCTCAAGAAACATTTCTTATTATTATCAGTGTTGAAAACGGTTGTGCTGCTTCATATTTTTTTATGGAAACCGTGATACTTTTTTGATGAATTGAAGTTCAAAAGCACAGTTTTTATTTGAAATGTTATAAAGGTCTTTAATTAAAATTAAAACTAAAATACACTAATAAAAAGATTAATTTACATTAAAAAATAACTTAACCCCAAACGTTTGAACAGTAGTGTGTTTCATAGTATTATATCTACTATATCTTATATAGCTATTGCATTAAACTTTGAAAAATGACTTTGAAATCTTTATGCTACTGTATAATTGAAATATTATTACATCAAATCCCACATCACAGCAAACAGTAATTATAGCAAACTATGAAAAGCTGTTCCACATGCCCTTATTCAGCCTTTCACTAAATACTGTGTTTGATATAACACACATCTAATGTGAAACTAGGCTGGAGCCCAGTGGAACATGTTAATTTTCCAGTTTGCAGTAAGAGCTTAATTCAGACAGCACAGTCAGCAGA